CGATACCCAACCCTATTTCTGAAAAATAATTAGCATATTAAAATGATTTCTGAAGAATAATTAGCATATTAAAATGATTTCATGTGACACTGACAACTGGAATAATGGCTGCTGATTTTTTTTTTTTATTCAACTTTGCCATTACATAAATAAATTAAATTTTAATATATAATAAAATATAAAACTATTCTTTTAAGTTGTAATAATATTTCATAATATTACCGTTTCACTTCATTTTTGATAAAATAAATGCAGCCTCTGTGGGCATAGGAGACATTAAAAAGTACTTTACTACCCCCAAAATTTTTAACAATATTATAATAGTAATAGCATTTATAGCTACTTCATAAAAAAAAAAGTACATTTGCATTTAGATTCATCGGTTGAAGTTTTCCTTTTAAAAAATGTAGCTTTTCATTATATGAAAACTGTACCTGATGAAGGCAGGTGAAATGTTGGCAACCATTTCCTGCAGGAATCCTCTGGCCTTTCGCCTAATTTTACTGACAGCTTTAGAATCCACTCCAGACTCTGCATCTGTGCTGGCACCCTCGGATGCTACCTCCACGATAGCACTTTCCAGCCTACAGCAACAACACTCACAGTCAATCTGGACGCTATGATGCATTCCAGCTGCTTAGAAACAGACTTTACATTGCACTTGTTCCTTGCTTTTAAACAATTGGTACCTGCTGTTGTTAAGCACATTCTCCACCACATTGCGAGCAAACATGTCTTTCCGGACATCTCTCTCCAAGACAAACAGCACATAACTCAGTCTCCGTGCAAGCCAACCTCTGTGTCTGCAGTATACAAAATACAAGATAGCCAAGTATGGAACGTATTAAAGAGTATTAATGTATAGTATATTTAACTTAAAGGAATATTTCAACAAAAAATTAAGAATTCTGCCATTATTTACCAACTCATTCTCATGTTGCTCCTTCTATAGAACATGAAATTAGATAAAATCATGAAAAACCTTCTTAATGATTTGTTTCTGAATCAGACTGATTTGACTGACTCAATAATTCGGTTTCAACAGTTCTCTTTTTTTGTGCAATTTTTAGAGCCATTTTGTAGAATCCTTCGTGCTGATATCAAATATGGCAATATCAAATTATTCCTGCTGTATTACGCACTGCCCACTTCCTCCCCTGATTGGCAGTACCAGCTCAGACCACCTTTGGTCCTTGTCATGTGATCTAGGTACATAATATCCCCTGACAAATAGTGTTAATAATTTATTTCCTGACTTTCCACTCCTCCCAGAAACCTACAACCTTCCATTTGACACTTGAATGTAAACACACGGCGGGTCATTTGGTGGGGAAACTACATCTGCCCAACTATGGTATTAATGGCATATCACAAACTAAACTAGGTTAATGAATTATACTATACAGCAAGCAACTAAGCAATGTGAGTATTTTTATGATAAATAATGAGGAAAGTGGTCATGTATTCATAGCCATCAGGTCTATAGCCAAAAGAGGTTGATGTTTACCTTGTGTGTGTTTCATTGATGTAAATCACATTACGGAGCCCTAGTGAAGGGATGCTGGGATTGAACAGCCTTTCCTGGAACACATAACTGTAGTAACTACAGATGTTTCTTACACATGTGCATTCGGTCAATATGCCAAAGCTTCAACAAACTAACCTGACTCAGGGGTGTGCAAGAGTGACAGCATCTTCCAACAAATGGTCTCTTCCTGTTCAGCAGACCCTCCTTCCATGTGGTGGTCACAGAACGAAGGACAGACGGGCTGGAGCTTCTGTCCTACATGACAAATACAATGTTTATTGTACAAAAGATGACTGCAACAAGATAAATCGTATTAACCTAATCTTCCAAAACCGTTCCATTTGTTGACATTAGTTATGTATTAGGTATCATGAACTAACAATTTTTTTAATTTTTACAGCATTTATTAATCTGGGTAAATGCTATTTCTTTATATATTTCATTGTTAATTTAAACAACTTGAATTGTAAAAAATAAATATTAACATTTCTGGTACTTCTACTGTAATGATAAAACAGCTTGTTTTTTAAACTTTATTTTATTCAAAAGAGTGGTAATAATACATTGAAAAATGTAATCAAATATTTTAATAATGAAAGTAATAATTTCAGAATTCCAGTTATTAATTTTTTTTAATTCCCTCATTTATCCAGGTTTTCCAAGACTGTGGGAAATAAATAAAAATTACAGTCGTTGAGGTAAGTAAGTAAATAAATAAATACATAGGAGTGGGGCTGTCGCGATAACCACAATATCGCAATACCGCGCTATTGACGAGCAAACCGCAGAGGAATGCAAGAACCGCAGCAACCGCGATTTTTACGTTTTATTTTTTCGTAAGGTTATGCATGCCTCGTTTTACACTTCATGCATGTGGACTGAATATTAAACAAGTTAGTAATGATAACATAATGTGTACCATGCTGATTTGTACAGAGGCTGGAAATTCCCTCACCGCAACAGCCCTACATAGTAGGAAAGAAAGAACGAACGCCGAAAGAAAGAAATCGTTTTTGTTTTGTTCTGAGTGTTTCCTTACTGGCCCAAGTCAAAATAACCTACACCACTTAAATCTCAATAATATTTTAATCCTTGGTGTGTTTCAAATCCCTCCTAAATCTATGGGATTTTGGTTTGTTTTATTGTCAATGAGGTTGTAAATGTAGGTGTGATCACAAGATCATAAACTACCCTCAACAGGCCTCATTATTTGAGGTATCATTCAAGTCTGTAGCACAAACAGCACAGGACAAGTTACACACTGAGGTTTAATACTTAAGATTAAGGGTTTGTTAAAATCTTTCCAGCATAAGCAACAACAGTGATGCTTTCTTTAGTGTGCCCTAGTTTCTCCATACTCACCTGGTCCTCACAGGGATGCTTCAGACAACCACTTCCTGCGTCAGGATTATTGGCCAGGAGAATGTTATCTGGACCCCCCAGAACCATGCGGACATCCATCACCTCTCTTCAAACCACACATCAACAACAAAACTGTGGGAAGGAAAGAAAATCAGAGAATAAGCAGAGGACCATTGCCGCCCTCTGTGATGTAGCTCAAAGCACGGACAAGCTCTGGTTACAGCTTTTCACAATAGATCACCGCAGCCAGCAAAATATTCCACAGAAAGCTAGAACGTGAAACCATTGTGTCTTCTATTCAACACGGCACCTCCAGCTCAGCTGCAGCTGAATACCAGGAATGTCAGATGATGCGTTTCAGCCAATCACAGCAAACAAATAAGGTTCGCCAAACCTGCTGCGGTGGTTTCAGGTGAGCTGATCATTCTGACAAAGATTTCAGGAAGAACAGCAACAAAACAAGCAGAGCTTGTTCAAAGATCAGTGCATAATGGCTCAGTCTACATTCCTGATCTTCGCCGCCTTGGGATAAAGAAAACCGACAGGCTTGACAACAGCTCAAAGCACACGAGACACCATCAGCTAACCTCACGGTTGCCAAAACCGAGCGCACGTGCGACGTAAGAAGACACAGCCACTCTTCTTACCTCTGCATCGCTATCATAATGTCCTGGGTGACCTGCGGCTACATAATCTCTTGTTTTTATCTGCTGATTTGCTGACCCATGGATGAGAGAGTCTACTCTCCGGTGTTATGTTAAAGCGCTACGGCCTCTCGCCTGCGGAAAACACGCTGAAATAAAAAGGGGCTGATGAAGCACACAATATATTGCAGCTGTTCAGGTCAGAGGTAAACTGGAAGGGTGGTGGTCACAGCAAACCCAAACGGTGCCTGTGCTCCTGCAAAGCAATATATTTATGGAAGATGAGCTGTGGAAAAAAGCTTGTGCCAAATTGAGGGTGCAGAATGTACCCTTTGAAAACCACATGAGAGATCTTGCACATGCATAAGAAAGCTATTTAAAACTTACATGTGTCTATCTTTTTAACTAACAATTGGTTGTGCCATAAAAGCACAAGGCGAGATGGAGGAACTTCATAAATTATCTAAAAATTAGACATGAAGTTTAAAGGCTCTGACTTTCATTTCCTCTTGTGGTCAAACACAGTTTACAGTTGTCTCTATTATTATGGGTTCTTCTTATTTCCTCTGTGACTGCACTTCTTCAAAACACTCCATCAGCAGCACACACGGGCATTACAGAAACCGCAGTGGGACCGTTTAGTCCATTTCTAGAATACACTGAGGCCATATTCTTGATGTTTTTCTTGAATCTTTTGTGCATCACGGGTAGAAAAAAAGGGATGAAGATTTTGTTTTGATTATTGCTATAGTGCAATAGGTCAAAATAGCAATGGCTACAATAGCAATTATATGCATGCTCTACTTCATTATGTGTATACGCAGATCTGAATTTGGCATCTAACAGAATATGCATCTAGATTTTCACAATTTATTAAACGTGAGTGGTGAAAGATGTTCACTTGCAATTTTAAACGGCAACTGCAAGAAAAACATCAGCATAGTGAAATAAAAATCACAATTACCTTTTTGGAAAACAAAAACAATTTGGAGATGTAAAATCAGAATTGAGAGAAAAAAGGCTGAATTATAAGATATTCTGTGTATAAAATTCTGTGGTGGAAAAGAGCTTACATGCAAATCAAAGAGCCCACACCAACAGCAAAAAATCTGTTAATAAAACTGACCGATAATTATTTTAATGTTATGGCTGATAATTGATAAATGGCTGATATTAAAATAAAATAAATAAATAAAAATATATTTTTAAAGTGCTATATGTGAATTTGTGTCACAAAATTTGGATAATGTAAAATATGAAAAATAGAAGAAATTTGTTAGATTCAACAAACATTTAACTATTAAATTACAAGTGTTTGTTATATTAATTTTAATTGAGCATTAGATGATAGCAAAGTAATCTAAGTGTAAAAATAGCAGAAATGAGCATGCACAATTGATTATCTAATAGACTGTTAAAAATAACACCAATAAACTTTTTGAAAATTGCAATATCAGCCTGTAACTGATATAATACTGACTATATATATTGCGCCTGTCTGGGCATAACTGTGCCTTAAAGATATTCCTCTCCAAAACATCTGTATGTCCCATAAAGCGTGGTTACCAACTGCTTGAAAACTCATCGTTTAGTATTCCATATACTTATACGTTTAATATAATATACTTTAATCACTTTTGCCTATAGTTCTTGATTGACACAGTAATGTAATTAAGATGACTCAATCACATGCTCTCATTAGGGTGGAAGTGGGTCAGCAAAAGAGTGGGTCTTTGAATGAATGACTGGAGCAAACCAAGCTGGCAGGAGGGAGGGAGGAAAAGATGGGCTAATCTCTTCCACAATGAATAACAACCCCAAGCAAGACGCAGAGCACATGCTGAACGAGCCTGGGGAGAAAGAGAAAGAGAGAGGTGTACGGCGAGCCACAACGCAGCTGCTAAATGAGAGTTCATTGAACTCTGGAAGCCCTGCCTGCATTGCCTGATGTGATCTACACCAATAGGCGACCAGAACAGAACACTGATGAGAAAGGAGAAAAGACGACCACATTTTCTGAGAAAGTGTGGCTGGATGTCAAATCCCACAGAGAGGAGACCTGCTCAAAGAGACAAAGTGAATAATAGCCCTGGATTGGCTGTGAAACTTTTAAAAGTTGCTGAATGGGCCCGGTCTGAAAATAATGCTGTATGATCTACATTTTTAAAGCAATCCTTCACCACTTTAAAATGTCAAACCGACCCTATAAATCCTATTTGCCAAATTAGGTTACCTACTATGTACCATACTAGAGCTATGCATCTTACTGTTTTCATTGTGGATTAGAGCATTTTCCTTTACAGTTGGTTATGTAGTAAAAACGGGCATCTACACTGTCAACAAACACACACTCCATGTCAATGGTGCTGTAAGCCAGAGTAGCTGCCACTAGCTTTTAAACAATCGAATTTGATGGGTAAATCCACCAGCAATGCAGGGCAGTGGGTTAATCTGTCCCGCAATCTGCTCATCTGAACTATAAAACAAGAAGAAAAAAGAACAAGCACGTGCACACACACAAGGCAATGACAATCCACCATTACTGTATATTTAAATAATCCGAACCATAACAACATTCCATAACAAACCTACATTATTCAGAAGTTTAAGTATTAATTTGTTAATGAGTAATCAAAAAGACAGGTTGTGGAATTTATTAAACTAGCAGGAAGGATTAGCCATTACAAAATAATGAAAAACTTGATAACTTGGGTAATATAGTTAGATTTAATGGAATATCAGATAAATTCAGGGAATATCAGAATGACGTAAAAAAAAAAATAAAAAAAAAAATATAGAAGTAGGCCGGGGAGTTGGATATGCATTGGTTATTGATTGGATTTTCAGATGTGGCACTCAAAAATGGAGGCCAATGAACGTGAACTTGATGGGGCAAGTTTAAAGGGTTAGTTCACCCAAAAATTAAAATTCTGTCATTATTTACTCACCTTCATGTCGTTCTAAACCCGTAAGACCTCCGTTCATCTTCGGAACACAAATTAAGATATTTTTGATGAATTTTGAAAGCTATCGGACCCTCCCATAGACAGCAATGCAATTACCATGATCAAGGTCCAGAAACGTAGCAAGGAGATCGGTAAAATAATCCATGTGACATCAGGGGTTCAACCGTCCAGACCCGGAGATCGGCTGAATGGATTCAAAAACGGTAAAACTCAACTGTTTAACTCTAGGGGAGTTGGAAAATGAGCCTATTTTCAAAAATAGTGGAGTGTTCCTTTAAGTGGACTAAATTAGACGTCCAGCATTCGTCACTCACGAGAGAGAAGTCTGTCGTTTTCACCAGAAGATCCAGTTATGACATTCTGATTAAACATAACAAGGTCAACAAATGTTTAATTGTTCACAAGATCTACAGTATAACATGCATTTAGAAAATAGATTTTTTTTCATTTCATGCTTTAAGTGTCACACTTAAATTAAACAAATTAATTTAGAAATTAGTCAAAATAAAATAAAAGATAGAATGCATAACATTATTAGTCTTTTAGTTTCAGTAGGATAAGCTTCATAATATTTAATTAATGTAATAATGTGCATTTATTTAAAGTAGTATACATACTAAATTTGCAATTTAAATGTTATTTAGCATTTTTCGGTTACATAATTTTGTTTCTTTCCATGAGAGCGACTAGAAACAGTACATTTCAACTGAATGCACTATGGAGAAGGGCTATATTAATAGTTTTATCAGCATGTACAAATCATCAAATAAAACTGGTAAGACCAAACCTCAATATAATGGTACTGTCAACATGTAAGATGGTGTCCCCTTTTAAAGATCAGAGGATAAATATCATGTTGTTGTGACAAATAATAGATGCGTTTACCCATGATCTAACAAAAAATTTACCTAGCATTAAAAATATCTAGAGTTTAAAGAAATATCTGTATCTCCACCTATATTGTGATTTTGGCCTGTCCCACTAACAACATTTAGGTTCCAGTTTCATTAATCTAAGTGAAAGCTTCCATTCAGGTGCAGATTTATTATTCAGTTAATTTTTCAGTTTACATTAATATTACTTTTTTTCAGTATACATTACGTCTATTTAATTTTGATGTGTATTTAATGTTAACTGCAGAAAAAAAACACAAGATAGTATAAATGACATACCCTATGAAAAATAAATAAAACAGCTCACATAATTTTCTGTCTGACCTCCTAAAGGTTGATCATCGACATCTTCTGAAGGTTAAGCACCTTTCACTGACCATTTGTTAAAAAATACTTAATATGTAAGAGTTCCATGCCCTATGTTGTACCGTATTCGCGCCTTGAACGCCGTTTATGAATGCACGCGTCTCTCGCTACTGTAGCTGCATGCTAGTCTGGGGTGCGTTTCCCAAAAGCATCGTTAGCTAACTATGGTGGTTCGTTCCATTGAACTCTATTGGTAACGACGGAACTTGCGACCATTGTTGCTTTTGGGAAACGCACCCTGACTGTCTGCCTTTAACGGAGTCTTCAACTCAACCACGTTGGGCTCGAGCAAACTGCCAAGAACAGTCTTATCTCTTGAGCCGCATGCAGAGTCAGGACGTTTCGACCTGAAAGCACTGCATTTGCAAACACTGCAACTGTAAACGGTGTGTTTTAAATAAAACGACGGGGTTAACGTTAAACAGTTAACGTTACTAAAGGTTTTTATGTGAAATTCATTTAAGACAGATAACGGTACTGACTGTAAGCAAAATATCATACATTTTAATTTAGATTTACAGTAATTTGGTTTTGCCGGTTCGCTGCATTGGGCTCATTGAGCTGCCCCTCTCCCTTATGCTAGCTTGCTAACCAACCCACGCGCCCACCTTCATTGTGCATCAGAACGAAACGGAATCCGCGGACAAAACGTGGTATGCAACGAGGAATGTTTTACCTCAAGAAAATGCCTTTGTTGCGCCATCACTGATGAAATTGACGTCTTTTGCGTACTGGAAACCGGCACTCGTCCTTGAAACTGCCCACAACGCAACCTATGGCCAGCACTGTGACTGCACTTGAGGGGAAAGATGTATGACAGCTGAGCTGCCCAACGCTGTCATGGCAGTGCTGTAATTCTGGGTAGAGCCACTAAGGGTCGTAGTTAGATAGATTGTGTGAAAAGGTCAGACCCACTTATTTATAGATCAGTGGTCAGACCCAGCTAAAGGTTGTGATGGTGTGGTTACTTGAAGAGGCTATGTACATTTACGTAAATTGTTAAGTATAGCGCCTTGCACCTTGCAAAATAATAATAATAATAACAATAATAATAAATAAAATAACGTTTGTATGGGATCTGTTTCCACAACAATTGACTTATAAATATGATTCTGTAAATTTCTCAACATCTCATCTCATTATAAATGAGAAACGTAGTTTCTCACAAAAATGAGAAACTTCGTGACTTTCGCCTCGTTATAATAACATCTTATTGTAGTGACATTTTCCCTCATAATAACGATAACTTATCGTAATAATGACTTATCACAGACTGTGTATTTAAAGTGGTATGAAAAATAGTAAATGTCAGGAAAACGCTTTTAGCCAGTCAGAGAACTAGCCAATCATAAACGCTCTCTGCCTGTCAATCCTTTTCACCGTCAGGTTTGGTGATATCGCATTGGATGAGATGTTGTAAGAAGGCGGGGTTTAGAAGAGCGTGAGTTTGACGCAAAATGGTTAGAGTTCTTTACATTGCCGTTTGTAAACCAGTTTCATGTAACATTTCAGAGATATTAGTAAAAATAAGTGGACAAAAAGAAATGTTGAATCTCAGAAAGGTTTGTTTATTCATTTAGTCGATTCGTTGCTAAATTAATGCTACCTGTATAGATAAACAGCTTAAAACAACGTAACAAAACTTTATCCCATATAAGGAGCATTTAATATAATGCTTCTAGTGTGCAAGACTGACTATATGACTAGCAGATGATCACTGGACATTAAATGAAACATTGTATGTGCTTGATCTTTGGATAAAGATTTAGCTCCATGGTAGAACTACTAAAGAAAACTATTTACATTAAATTCAGCTGACTAATCTGGATGCAGTTGATGTCTCCAAGCAAGATCTTTTTAAGTCTTGTCCAGACATCCTGCTGGGTCTTAATTGTGTATTCACAAAGGAACAAAAACATTTGCATACATATTCTGGACACGTTCCTCTTTAATTATGCTAGTGTGTATAACAAAATTGACCCTTATTTCGTAATTTCTTTCCATGAAATCCTGCAAAGTTATTCTGAAGGAGGGGTCCAAGTCATATCCAGCAACCAGAATATCATAGATTCTTTATCTAGCCCCTTTTGACACGTTTTAACTTTTGAGTGTGAAGAAACCTTCTAAGAAAGGGTTTTGCACATTTACAAAGTACAGATCTAGTTCAAATTAATTTATGTTGTTAATGGGCATCCATTTTTTTGTTAATACTGTGTTCTCAACAGCAAATCTGATCACGTGACTCCAGGACAGTTACAGATCAGGACCTTTTCTGAGTCAGCCACATCAACTGGCATCAGTATTCAGAGTGAGTACAGCTGAGGTTGCCATGCCCTTTCCCATCACTCATTGTCTGCCTATTGCAAGCTGTGGCAGTTGATATTTACAAGTCAAAGATCCAAAGAAATTTCAAGAATGCATACGTGTATCAAAGACTTTCTCTGATTTCATTGTTGAGTTCTAGAGAGCTAAGGCTTATGCAAAAGTTAATAATTTGAAGTTTTATGTGCTTATATAAAGCTTTGAAGATAGCTTTTTCCCCATAATGCATTCAGTTTAAATATTTATATTCCCTTTTTCAAGAAAAGAAACTAACTGGTATAACTGAAACATTGTAAAAATGTCAATAAATAATCTTTAATGCCAAATTAAGCAAATACATTTACTATTTTAAATAAATGACATTTTTTATAGTTGTGAATTAAATATTATTTTACTTTAGTCTATTATATACAGTGTTATGGGTGGTTTCCAGGATGTCGCTGTGCGGTTGCTAAGGTGTTCTGAGTGTCCACACTGTCCACAACAATATATGAAGGTCCCATGACTTTTCCAGTTGTTTGTGATTTACTGGATAAAGATTTTGAATTTTTTTTTACTCACAATTTCTGCCTGATAAAATATTTTCATTACAGTAAAATATATATATGACTATATAACATGACTTGTGATTTCTAGACTCCATCAGGGCCCATATTCACAAAACATCTTAAGGCTAAATATTGCTCATATCTTGCCAATTTAGGAGAAAAGCTTAAAAATAATGGACTTCAGTCCTAAATTTAGGACTCCTAAATTTTTGCTCTAAGAGTATTTCACAAGGCGTTTTAGCGCTAAAACTAGCTCCTAAATCTGTAAAACGTTAGTGAAGAGGACTCCTAAGTCACTAAGACCAAACACAAACTATCCTAAAAAGGCTGTTGCCGGCAATCTGCCTCGGAGCGTAAACATTTTAGTAACATGCTGCATTTATTTGCACACATACAGTATATTTTTCCACGCATCTTTTTTGGTTTTGGAGGATATCCCAACTATACATTTTCCTTTGATTATATACTTGTTTTCATTAACAAATTGGGCAAGAAGTAACAGCTGTTCTTGCACCCTGTTTGGTTTTCTTTTACATTTGCATGTCTTACTATCAGACATGATTATTCTACTCTGTTAATTAAAAGGCTGTTGATATGCATATCCGCTAATTGTTTTTGAGAATCATACATGTAAGAGGCTGACAATTAGCTGAACATATACTTGTTTAATTAGTGACACTTAGCCTGCATTTTAAAATCTTTATTTGAATGTTGCAACATTTTTATTTTTAAACCTTTATTTGAATACGGCAACATAATATTGTGCTCTACAATATTTCCATGAATAAATCTC